TGCCGACAAACACCGCGTAAAAAGAGGAGCAATGCGGGGTGGTAGTTCAATTTAGATTCATACTTAATTAATTCAAATATAATTGAATTAAAAAACCTGAGATTGAAAGAGGGAGCTCCCCAGAAAAAGGTTGCCCGGCGCGGAGGTCGCCTCCCAGACGAATGAGGCAAAGGTGGACGTCGCCAGCCAGACAAACAGACAGAAGTGTCCTTCGGCAGGTAACTAACTTTCAGAAATACTCTATTAAAAAACTAGAATATATGTGGACACCATTTACGGCAGTACAACCCAGACCGACGAGGTAGGATGTACAGCCGGACCATCGACATCCACATCAGGTGGAAAAGACTGATTGAAAAATGTAAGTTTTATATTTTTAGCAGCAAGACTCGACGCAAAAGCTCTACAAGAAGAAGAAGAACTCCTAAGAAGAGAGAGGATCTATAGGGAACAAGCTCCCTACGCGACAGGAGTTTGGTCGGAAAAAGCCGGACGGCTCGGTAGCCGTCAAGGACATCTGGCGTCGCGACCAAATGCACCGGTCGGTGCGAACAGCAATCGAACCATAACTTCTACGGAAGTCGAGGAAAGCTCGTCACAGGCGCCACAAAACAGCTATTGAAGTACTACGCAGAGGTGCGAGAAAACAACAAAAGACCGTTCGACACCATACCATATGAACTAATCTTGCTAGTTCCATGGTATATGCAGCACAAAAGGCCCGCACCGTCTTTAATCTGCAAGAACTTCAATGATCACTATGGGAAATGTGGGGAAAAAGTTATGGACGACTGAAACAGCGACAACGAGCGGGACGACGATATTAATAGGACGTATGGCTAAAACGTTGCGGCTCGGGCTGGGGGTTTCCTAGACTTTAGCCTAACTTTTATATTTTTAGCATCGCGAACCGGGACAAACGGTCTACAAGAAGAAGAAGAACTCCTAAGAAGAGAGAGAATCTATAGGGAACAAGCTCCCTACGCGACAGGAGTGTGGTCGGAAAAAACCGGACGGCTCGGTAGCCGTCAAAGGACATCTGGACGTCGTGACCAAATGCACCGGTCGATGCGAACAGCAATCGAACCATAATTTCTATGGAAACCGAGGAGAACTGGTCACAGGCGCCACAAAACAACTATTGAAGTAGTATGCAGAGGTGCGGGAAAACAACAAAAGGCCCTTCGACAACATACCATATGAACTAATCTTACTAGTTCCATGGTATATGCCAAACAAGACCCCTGCACCGTCTTTAATCTGCAAAAACTTCAACGATCACCACGGGAAATGTGGCGAAAAAATTATGGATGAGCTGAAACATCGTCAACGAGCGGGACGAACGGTTGCGGAAACGCACTACGAGCTTCGGAACCAGTTCTATCGCAACGACGTCCAAGTACTCCTGGTCATCACAAAGCCACTAAAAAACTGCGAATTTTGTTCAAGGAATTAAATGCATATCTCTATGTTTAGCTCACACACCCCTTCGGACCCAATCTTCTCTAAGAAATGGGTCGACCATCCTAACAAATTACTTGTTTATCGCATTATGTTTAAGGAACCTAAGCACTCAAGAAGTTTTCGATAGCCACCGTCAACAAATGGGGCAATTTTTTGACGGATAATATTGAGGAAATGTTTTCTGAATATGTAGCCTACCTTTCGCAGCAACTTTATATATTACGCCTCAACAGAATCCCAATTTGATGGTGGTTAGCCTGAATTTCGAAGGTTTTAGTCTCGTATGTGGAAATCAAATGTTCGAGCATTTAACAGCTCTTTTGGCTAGTGAGAATCAGGGAACCCAAATTGTTGCATGGACATTGTTTCTGCACTGCAAACTAGCATTGAGCGTTGAAATACCGAATTGAAATTCCCATATTATGTGAATGTTTTTTGTGTCTATTTTTTAGTGTAAACTACAATTCTTCTTTCAATTGTTTGAACTTTCCGTAGACATGATGATAATAAAAAAATCTTTTCAGGTCAAGATCACCCCGTGAAAACACCCGACAAAACAACGCCATGCAGCGCCCGACGCAAAGCCAACTGCCCTCTAGAAGCCAGGACCAACAAGAACCTCTACAAGATTTGTATCGCGTCCGCAAGGAGCAGCTCAGGAACGGAAAATACGTACTCAAGATGAGGATCGACCCGTATATCGTGTTCTCGAAAAGATGTACACCCAACGACCTGCCAAATTTTCAAAGAAACACGGAATTCGTGATGAACCACCTGCTAGGATACCTTCTTGAAGAATACCAGCAAGAGCATGCACCGGGAGTGCCTAGGAAACCTTCAATTCTGATGCAGGGCTCTATAACCCGAATTAAAAAACGGTGCTATAGAATACGTGGAAAAGCGCTTTCGAGGCGTCAAAACAGGCTCAGAAACGAAGATGCTCAATAAACTGTGGAAAGTTTTGGACAAGAAAAAAGATTTCCGATAAAAGGTCATCGTTCCCTAAAGACCATGGCTAACTATTGGCGCAATATTGTTTATATAATGATTCATATGGATTATGAGAAAGAGAGAGAGAGAGAGAGAGAGAGAGAGAGAGAGAGAGAGAGAGAAGAGATACTGTTCTCTCTTACTGTGTGAAACCTTTGGGAGTCGCTTTATGCCCGCACCGTCGTTAACGTGCAAGAACTTAAACGACCACCATTAGAAATGCGGCGAAAAAATCATGCACGACCTCAAACACCGAGAGCGAGCGGGGCGTACAGTTGCGGAAACGCATTACGAACTACGAAACCAATTTTACCGGAACGACATCCAAATACTGCTGGTGATCATAATACCACTAAAATGGTATGTCAAGCACAAAACACAGGCACCAACTTTAATCTGCAACCACCTTATTGTAAATGACGGACTTAGAAAGAAAGTAAACTACAAACTATAAATGAAATATTTTAAGACACAATAAAGTGTTTTCATACTTTACTTGATTCTACAGAGCTCTTTGTATAAGGCACAGACCCGTTTCTGAGTCAGTTAGTTTTTTGCTAGCCGAAATTTCACCCAAAACAGTTTCCACCCGAAAATGACCTGGTAGTAAAAGGAGTTGGCTCAATAAGGAAGCGCTATAAAATCGGAGTAAAATTTTGATTGCTGGTGGTAGGAGATCTGTATTTATCACACTCATAATGTATTTTTTGTGATCAAGGTTGCTTTGGAATTTGAATGAAGTATGAAAGAGAAATATCATTCAAAATATACGCAACTTAATATTGTAATGCTTTGAAAAGTTCTATTACACTCAAACTGACGACTCACAGGGCTTCTGGACAATTTCGTGTATTCAGACCGTTTTTAGAAAATTTCTAGACGTTAGAGCGAGAGAGAGCGAGCGGGAGCGGGAGCGAGAGCGAGAGAGAGAGAGCGAGCGGGAGCTTGAGCGAGAGCGAGAGAGAGAGAGCGAGAGAGAGAGAGTGTGTGTGAGATTTGCTCGTCGTTCGTAACGAGAAAATTCTGGCTGGTGCAATTCAGGCTTCCTATTGCTGTAAGTTTTATGCAAAGAAAGGCACGGCTTTAGCACTATTCCCATGTATCGCACGATTCACACATGAGTATCCCGGTCGTATTATAATTACGGTCATCGGTCCAGATGGTGTAGTCGAGGCGGCAGTACGGCGGTTCGGGGAACATTCGGAAGGTGCCGAGGCCGCCTGAGAAACGGCATGTGTGGGCTGGGGATGTTGTATTGCGCAGGCGTTGCTACCCATAGATGCAAAGCATGTGCGCGTGGTCCCGGCCCGCGAGACTTTGTTCAAATCTGTTGCTTTTTACAAAATGCATTTTCAGGCGAAAAGGTACAGCATTTTAAATTCTTCGCAAATGATAGCCTAACTCAATTGCTTGTAAATAGGCTAGAAATTCCATTCGGGATCTAGACCATCTGGTGCAGAATTTTTCGCTGCTTGCGCCTCTGTTTTGCAAATTTACGGAAGAGTCCAATTTCCAAAGTTACAGCTGTTTTTTGCACCAAAATCGTGAGTTTCAAACCCCCATAAAAAACGGAAATGCGCTGTAACTTCTTCAAAATTCCGATAAAGCAAATTTGGAAAAAAAATTTGGAATCAGGGCGAAATTCTGCACAAGATGGCTTGGTCCTGTTTAAAACCAGGGTGTCACCAAAAACGCCTGCTGTCAGAAGAGTGTTGTCAGAAGTGACTGCTTGTCCACTACGCAGCCCGCTACGCCGCCACGTCGGGTACCTCCCCCGCTTACCTCTATGGATTGAGGTCAAGGCGTCCTGCGTGCCGAACGTCATGCAACGGTAACGGTCATCCTGAAATGCCATCAATTTCCGCATTTCCCACGTGGACCCGCCCCCTTGGTGTACGCCGCATTGACGTGGAACTTCAAGTAGAAGTTGTTCCACGCATTTTCCCACTTGTCGGTCCCGGTAACACCGCAAAGCTTTTCTTCTGTGCGATTCGGTTGGTTTTTATAAAATGTTGTGACTAACCATACATATGCCCGGTGCAATGATCAAAGTTGTCGTTTTCTAAAGGCCAAACATCGTATTCCTTCAGCTCGAGCATGTATGTCTCGTCGCCCTAAAACGGAGGGTGTTCTCGGAAATGGAACGGTCGTCATTTCCTGGCTATGGATGCGCAGCAAGTCCCAATCCCCGTCAAAACGAGTCTAAACCCTGCTAATTTGAGCATTTTTGCCCTAGAAGGCGCTGTAACTTCTTCAAAATACAGAAAAACAAATTTTGAAGACAGAATTGGGATCAGCGCAAAATTCGTAGATTCGTAGGTAGAATTGACTTGCTCAAAACTGGGATGTCACCCGAAAAATGTAGCCGTTTTTCCCTTTCAGCTCGATTCGTCAACCCACCGGAACCCGCTGGTGCCCAGCTTCATAGCTGGCATTAAGGACTTGGAAAGAAAACGAGAACGAAAACGTCATACACGGAAGGGGGGCTGCCGCCAAGAAAAGTAGGATAAAAATCAGAGCCATGAGGAAAGGTGTGATGTACGCAAAACCTAGGCTATCGTGTTTTTAAACGCTGCGCTGCTTGAGTATGCGAGGAAATATAAAGCCGCTGCCGGCTGGCATTGACTGGCAATCGGGAAAAGAAAGAGTTCTGGAAAATCGTCGAATTGGATTGACTAACAAGCATACAAGGTCTTCGACTCGTGGAGAGGATTTCGTAAAGCTAAATCCGCGGTTTCCGGGTCGCAATCGGGGTCTTCTGGCACTACCGAAAAACTGGATAAAACAAGAAAGCGCAAAATTGTAATAAAGAAATTGTGCCCTGAAACACCCCTTATTTTACAGAAGCAAATTTTTCTTCTACAGGGTGTCCCAAAAAAAAGACCCCCCAAAAATTTGAGCCAGAGGGCACCTACGGAGCTGAAAATTTGCACAGAGGTAGCGAATGCAATTTACTATAAACAAGGAAAGTTTCAGCCCGATCGGCCAGCGGGTTTTAAAGTTATAGCGAAAATACTTTTCATTTTTAATTTGATATGGGGATCTTTGATATTTGCATCAAAGATATGTGTTATTCTTGCATTTACGAGCCGATTTTGCATAAATTTCGCTGAAAAGCGCCATTTTCTTGTTGGAGCTTTTGGAAAACGATTGCGTATGAAGAATAAAAAGAGTGTTAAAACAACTGTTTTATCGATCCAAATTACGTGTTATTGTGCATTTTCGCAATTTGAGCTTTGTCGGCCCGAAAACAGAGTTCGACGAGCTCGAAAACGGTGTTGAAGTTTAGATTCGGGCTTATGTTGGCGCGTACGCTGAAGTTTAAGCCAAGCTCAAGCGTTCTCCGATAGTTTCCGCCATGAGGTCTGGTATTCATCGTTCTTGCTGATCATTTTCTCGCTACATGAGCAATCGTTTTCCAAAAGCTCCATCAAGAAAATGGCGCTTTTCAGCGAAATTTATGCAAAATCGGCTCGTAAATGCAAGAATAACGCATTTCTTTGATGCAAATTTCAAAGATCCCCATATTAAATTAAAAATGAAAAGTATTTTCGCTATAACTTTAAAACCCGCTGGCCGATCGGGCTGAAACTTTCCTTGTTCATCGAAAATTGCCTTCGCTACCTCTGTGCAAATTTTCAGCTCCGTAGGTGCCTTCTGGCTCAAATTTTTGGGGGGGTCTTTTTTTTGGGACACCCTGTAGTTGTAGCTTTTCGGTTTTTGAGGACAGATTCGGAATCCTGAGCGTCGATTCTATCAGCTGCTATTTTTTTTAGTTTTTGTCTTGATTGTCGCCGGTGTTTCGGTTCGAAAAACTCGTAGCAAACTTTTATTCACACCAAGCACACTCGAAAAAGCGGATGCAACGATTTATCAGGGTTATGCAATGGGATTTTCTTCATAGAACGACGTCGACTGTTGGGAGTGCACGGCAAGAGGTTCGGTGTTTCTTAAAACAAGAAATATATTGGATTATGAATTTTTTGGCCTTACCTTCTCTCAATTTCTCCATGGCCCAAGCGTGTGCTGCCCCAGGCGACTTGTCCAAAAGGCCGCCATTTTCAGCGAGGCGTCCGGGGAATTTTCGCGGATTCGGTGGACCTGAAAGTGGGTTGGCTTTATGGGGTACTGAACTGTTAGCGGGGGGAGCTGATCTTGGGATCAGGACCGGTAGGGTATCAAAAATCACCCATTTTCTAATTTTTCACGTCATTTCTATGGTTTTTTTGGTAAGAAAAAACTTCTGAAATGGCGATGGAACATGCTAGAACGCTTAAAATTTGCTAGTTTGGTATAATCTAGATAGATTTTTCCCAGCTGACCCACGCCGCACCCCCCCCGCTAACAGCCCAGTCCCGGTTTGTTAGTGATTTTTCGTTACCTTTCAGTTTACCGAAAATAGTTCTTTGCAATTTCCTCAGTTCTCACCTGCATCATTTCGTCCGAATTTGTCGCGGTGGGGACCAGCGACTCGTAGAAGTTCCTGTAGAGCCCACGGTGCTGGCCGGGCCTGCAAAAGATGCTTCCCATTAAGGCAGTACGGCAGCTTCCCATTAATACCGACAATGTGGAAACAAAATGCCGACAGTCGAAAGCACGAACGCAATTAATTCCATTCGGTTGCTTCTCGGGATTTACACTGTCGGCATATCCACTGTTTTTCCACGCAAAACCAGTCAAAATTGATCGGAACCAAATTTTAATCTGAAGACAGTTTCAACTGAACTTTTTCAAGACGTCGCAAAGTCCAAAATACTCTTTTTAGGGACTATCGTCTCGATTTTCCTACTTTTCGTAGATCTCCGATTCGTGGTGCTCCAGAAAATCGAGTAGACGGCCTCGGATTCGTCCATTTTTGGAGAGTAAGCGAAGAATCGTGGTGTCCCGGGTCGACGTGTTGTTGTCCATGAAGTAGCGGATGAAGCTGAAAAAGCCTATTATAATACTTTGCCCTATTTACCGTAGCCCATACTGCCAATCGCCCGAGTGCCCGTACAGCAGATCGGCGAGCTGAGCCGCGTATTTTGGGTCATCTGAAAAATAAGGGTAAAAAAATGAAATAGGTAAAAAATATTTAGCTTTTTAAATTTGTATCTTTGATTGAATTCTTTAAGGCTTTTTTTAACCGAATTCAAAGATTGTTTTTAACCTTCAATCTGGTAGAGCTGGTGGATGAGCCGGGATTTTGCGTAGGGGTCGACTTCCCGGGCGAGTAGCCGTGCGTAGACGGGTTGATTGGCGGTGAAATTTCTGAAAAGAATCAAATGATCTTACGCTTTCTCTCACTCTCACGCCCTCTCTCTCTCGCTCTCGCTCTCTCTTTCGCTTTATCTCTCTTTCGGGGCAAACCTTCACTAGCACATTGGCTGGCCGGCCGCAGACTGTTCTTAACCTGAAGCAGGCACGGCTCGATGAAGTACTCATGGAATTCGAGCCTGGAAGTTCGTCACATGCCCAGCTGTATTCATAAAATTCGGTCTGCTATCCAGCTACCCACTCATCGGGCGTCATCTCCACGGTGCGGCCGGTTCGGTTGGCGGGTTTGAGGGCCTCGAACACTTTGGCGGGGTCGTTGTGTCCGGAGATTATCTCTGCGCCCGGTGGGCGTGTCGTCCCAGTCGTGTTCGGCATCGTCGGCGCTACAGTGACAGGCTTGGTACGGTAGGCTCCGTTATCTGAAACGAGAAAATCTGACTTGCTAAATGTTCCGGAAAAAGTTGTTCTGGTTCAGCCCCCGCTAACGAACCAGAACCGAAAACGTAACAGACGGAATTCACCTACATGCGGAATTGAAAAATATCAAAGCGATAGGGACGATGTTGAGGAGGCCCCAGATGATGCATCTGCAATTTTGGCTTAATGTAATCTGGAATGATTGGAATCGGGGTTTTCGGTTCGTTTTTGGTTATAGCTTTTTTATTTTACATTATTGTAGGCTCAAACTAAAACTCCTAGTATATTTTTCGACGCTCTAGCGAATGGCGTTGCAAAAATCCCGACAAATTAACTTAGGCCGAAGCCTAATCCTAAGTCGAAGCTTAGCCTAAACCCCAGCCTAAACCTAAGCACAATACCAAGCCGACGTCCAAGCTTGTCAAAGCTAATCTTAAATCCAAGTTCCGGGTAAATTTCTTAGTAAATTTATCGTAAATTCCACTTTTTTTCAAAACGCCGATCCACTTTTCGTTCGGCCTCTGATTCGGCTTGCTCTCGCTTCTCCCTATCGGCGGCCTCGTCTTCGCTGGAACGGTAGCGCCCACCGTACTGCTCGGGGCCCGATCTGAAAAGCTATAGTTGCCAGTGGAACTTCAGAAGTATTAGGTTGGTCGGAAAGTAACTAGAACTTTTCGAGGCAAAAAATTCTAAGGAAAGAAGCATTGTTTCGCTTCGATATTTTGCTGAGTGGGAGGTCATGTGGTCTAGTATTTTCGGTTAAAATATGAGCATCGAACTCTTTAAACGTGCTGAGCTAGAGATCAAAGAACGCGCATCACGTGAATTCTGTTTTTTTTGGTTTTCGAGAGTATTGCGCCCACCGATCTGACTAACCATTTTTCCAATGCGTCAGTTTTGTAGAGGAAAGTTTGCACTACAGACTGGTCAACACTAGAAATCTGGCTTCGGCCTCTTTAAATTTTCTTAGGTCGATCCAAAAAGATGTCGATATGGGTTTAGAGGCGCCAAAATCCGTATTCCCTTCTTCGACCGTTTTATTCAAATCGCGTGGGTAATTTTTTAAGCCGTTGCGACCGAGTAAGGCCTAGATGCCCCCGCATAAAACCCACAACTGGTCTCCGAGGAAAAGGTTTACATCTCGGAAAAAGGAGGAAGATATCACGATTTTAGGCCCAGTTCGCTGTTATGGTTTTTCCACCAGTCACTTAAGGTTTTGAGTTATAATATTTTGCCGGCAGTACCCACTGGCAAAAGGCTATCATACCATAATACAAGAAGAATGCTAGGCTTGTGCAGAAAAAAGCAAGAATGGAAGTTCAAGGATACCTTCGGGTCTCAAGCTCGGTCATTAAGTCATATAATAATTTTCAAATTTTTGAAAAACCCTCAGTCAATGCGGGTTTTAGACAATTGCACGATGTTGCCACTACTGTGCTTCTCCGAATCCATAGCCTACATCGGCAGATTATTTAGGCCTCTAATTTATGCGAAGCTTCGAGTCCGAAACACTCAGTCATCAGTTTTTGTTTCAAAGAAACTAGAAAATTTGCCGAAATTGGACAACGATGCGGAATCCAGCACGGTGGTTCGAAAGAGCTTCCCTTGGCACTGCATCATGTTTAACATCTCTCGCGCAGTGGCGTTTTTCGAATATTTCTGCGGCCGAAAAGTTTGGGGGCTCGCGGATGTCTGCGCGTCGGGTTCTTGGGCGCCCCAAGGAAAATCGTTAGAAATACAAGTAGTGAGGTGGGATCCTCCAGAATTTTTTAGCGTCAATAGCAGACACTTAGGGCTTTCTGGTGTAGGTTACAGCTAGTCTCTCGACGCTCTAGATAATTAAAGAAAAATTGCCGAAAAAAATTCTAGTTACTTTCCGACCAACCTAATAGTTCTGGACTGTCGGCGGGGGCCAGGGGGCACCGCCCCGATATCCTCCCACGCTAACGAACCAGAACCAGCGGATCGGGTCTCAACGCTACACACCGAACGACGACCGCACGGCGCGAGGACGACGCCATGGAATGTGGAATTATATTTCGGCGCCTTATGCAAGAAAATGATGTGGTATTTGGATGCATTTCGGGGCGAATTAGCTGGTCCACATCTACCGTGTTTATTATTTACGGTATTTACGGTATTGACAGTATTGACCCACAGTATTTACAGCTCCTTCCTACGAAAGTGCCGGGTCTGTTAAAAAATATTCGCCTTGGTCCAAAACCTATGGAAAAAACGGCAAGACATTTTTTGCGGAACTAAAGGCTGAAAAGATTCAGGAGTTAAATTTGGGGCAACACGAGTTTCAATCTGAAATAAATCTATGTTTCGCCATGACTAAAGTATGGGGCGTAGTTTTTGAACGATGCGCGGCTAAACGAGCCATAATTTCATGCTAAGCCAATGCCCCGGTTACAGCAAGCACTCGATCCTGGCACTTCAAGGTCAGTCCCGATGTGGCTTCCAGAAAACCACTTTTTTGGAAGCCACTTGCCAGATTTTGGATTTTGACGTAGCTTTCGGCAGCCTGTCGTCAGAAGGGTCGATTTTTCGGCGCATACTTGGCCTTTTAAAGATAAATGTAAGACAATTTTGAACAGAGCTTTATGATATACATGGAAGCGCTACGCTTTAGATTCTTAACAGATCACTTTTTCCTGAGAAGTCGGCATCATTTTTGCACATCACGTCACTGCAACGCACCTTTCAACCAGATAAAAATATTGTTTAGTTTCGCCACCCCCGCCTTCACTTTTCGATGCAAATCAAGGGCCATTCGGGGGGAGCCAATGGCCTGCCTGGCATTGCTATATGAAATCGGAGCCGCTTCGTCTGCCTCTCCAAGCCATATCCACCCCCGGCCTCCAATCCGCATTTTCTCAGCCCCCTTCCCCTCCCCGATCATACAAATTTCACTTTTTGGATACGAGGGCCAGCGTAGTGTCTCGCGTCTCACATTACGCCCCCACGTTTCTTAAACGGAAAATGACGCGTGGGAGAGTGTTTTATAGCTTTCAGGGTTTTACAGAATCGATGGTTTTATAGAAAATGATTTTCAGGGTTGTAAAAAGCTTAAAATACCGACAAGACCAAAATCCCGACATCCAAAAATACTGCCAACACACTAATTAGGGCCAAGTGTGTCGATATTTTTCAGTTTGTTCTGTACTGAAAGGCGGGTCTAACCGATTTGCATCTAGTCGGGATTTTTCGGCATTGTCGGCATGGCCGCAATCAAACTTTGATTAATTGATACCTTATCATTATTGAAGAAATTTTTATGAAAATGCATTCACTTCATTTAGTGAGTCCTTGAAACGGCACTGCATCGAGATTCTCATCCTAGTTTTAATCCAGTCTTTATTATTTGGCCAGTATTTGAAGGTGTCAATAAGGCTGTTTTTGGCCAATAGATATATTCAATAAAAAACTGGGATAAAAGATGGTATTTGCTCAGAAGGTCGACGGCCGGGATGGCTTTTATGAAGAAATACCGTAATCTCTGATTTTTGTGTTCCTCCAGGGGCTGCCGTCTGAATTTGCCTGGAATACCTGACGCTGTTTTAGAACGCACTCAGCCCATCGCCACTTAGCTTTCAGGTCAACACATCATAGTTGCCTAGAAGTGGATAGCTTTTGCGCCCCGGGCTAACCCGAAATTATGCCCACTTCACCCCCGCTCTCAGCTTCATTAGAGTTTGCAGGAAAACTCCAAAAAACACTTGGAAAGTCACGTTTAGAAGCTCAAAAACCAAAACAATATTTTCAGAAATCCGTTAAACCCGGGTAGTCATCTGTGCAACTGTATTTAACTAGGTTCCATAATCTTCGAAACTAGTATAAAAGTTATGGCCGAACGTCAGATGGCATTAAAATGGTTTCTTTTGATTTATACTTGATTTTGTCGGGATCTTACTGGACGGGACCTGGTTAGCCTTCCGGGATTTCAGCATGTCGGCATTTTTTATGTAGGGATTTTAGCTGTCGGCATTTTGGTTGTCGCTATTTTTGGTTTTAAGGTATAGCTGTCGGGAATTTGACTGTCGAGGTTTGGCTGTCGGGATTCGATCGGGATCCGGCTGGGTGCTTCGGTTTTCGGGAATATGGCTGTCTGGATTTCGACCAATTCCTTCTGGGCTATCGAGAATTTTTTAGCGAATTTTCGCTTGTCGCCATTATAGCGGTCGAGGTTTTGCCCTCGGGATTTTGGGCTGTGATTGCAACTTATCGGGATTTTGCCTTCCGAGTCGAAATTTCGATTATCCCACTTACCGATGCCTACAAAGCCTAAAATCTCAAAGATCTAGCTTCGTCCTGCACCCATATCGGTTCAAAGACCACCCGACAAACCCGTAAAACCCCACACGTAATATCCATTTTCGTATCCCCCCGACCCATATCATCATCTTCAATATGATGTTATGACGGCCCTTCTACCCGGGGGTGTCGATAGGATTCTCGAGTACTACTAAGGGGGCCCAGAAAAGGGCCTGGGCCCTTTCTGGACCCCTTAAAACTGCCTCCGGGCCTTAAGGGTGATGGATTCAAGGGGGTTAAGGCAAGGGAAATCCATTAGCCTTGAGGGCACATTACCGTAGTCAAGCCCGGCAGAGGACGGCTGATGGGATTTTCGGTGATTTTTGCAACGTCATTCCCCGTTTCGAAGTTTGGGCTTATTTTTGGCGGGCCGTTGTTTTTCGGGTGGGTTGGGTGAACTGGAAAATAGGGTCATGGGCGAGGTTTTGAAGCTGTTTTAAGCCCACCTAAACCCAAGCCTGGGGCGGGTCATTTATCTGGCTCAGCGGAACGCCTCCATGCTTTGGTGGGTTACTTTTGGAAGTTGGTGCTCATTTTGCACTTACGGTTCTGGGTAGCTGGGAGGAGATGCTAATAATTTATTTTTAGTATCCTACCTTATATAATTTTGGAGTGTATCTCTGTGTGTGTGTGTGGATGTCACTTTCGAGGCCCGATTTAGGGGCCTTCCCTTGGATAAAATGCGCTGATTTTTTGTCACTAGGGGGAATCGACCCTCCTCTTTCCGATGGCGTTTTCAGAATTTCGATAAAACACAGGTTTACAAAGTTAAAGCGGTTTTATTCATTTTTGGGGGTAATTTGCATAATCTGAAAAATTACAAATCTCCTCATTCTTGCAATTTGCACGCGCGTGTGTGGTCGGTGGGGGAAGGGGTCCGAAGCTATCGGAAAGTCAAATTTTGGTTCTTTAGGATTCCCGGGGGGGGAAAGTATTCCCGGGGGGGAAACCAAATTTTTTCCTGGTGGTCCCGGTTGACCTAGTAATCAAATATAAAGTGTTTTCGAATTGTTTTTAGTAAGTTTTAACTATATTTAAAGCAGAATAACTTTCAGAAAAATTTAGAAAAATGTTTGAAAAAGTCGAAAATTTGGTCATTTTGGGTCTATTTTTCGACCTAATTTTTAATTTTTTACATTTTTTTGGTTAAAATGTGTGTAGTTTTTATGCACAGGAATAGTTAAAAACAATTTAGAAACGCATCCGCAATTTATACAAAAATCTAGGCTTTCGCCGAAAAAAATTTGGTTTCCCCCCCCGGGAATACTTTCCCCCCCCGGGAATCCTAAAGAACCCAAATTTTTCATGCAAAGGCCCAATTCCAGCGCCCAAGGCCCGCGAAGCGGGTTTTGGGCGCTGGTTGCAGAATAATTGCTTGATAGAATCATAAAAATATAAAAATGGCAAAAATATACTTTTTTGTAATGTTTTTGCCGTCTGATTTAATGGTTTTCAACTTTCGTTTTCACTCATGAATCTGATCAACGCTGGTTTTTCACCAAGATTTCAAATTTGGGCTCGGTTTTTTTGCAAAAAATCTCAGGTTACTCCGATAAGCATAATTTTGATGATCTGCATCATCCGCAATAGGTAATCCACGATCTTTTTTTGTGTTATAAATCCCAAAAATGACAATTTCCCCCGGTTAAAAGTGTTAAATTCACAGTTAAATTTGTTTAAAACAATATTTGTTCACCCCAGGGCGCGACACCCCTAATGTATTTGTCTTTACGATGTTTTTCTACGCTGGTATATAGCATGAATTAGGGTTTTAAATCACGTTGATGACGTTCCCGATTTAGTTTTCGGAAAAATGGCCAGTTCGGAAGCCCTTGAGGCCCTTCATAGCCCCCACTTGTGCAGCTTGCGAAACTCTAAATTCCTCCTCCACCTCATGCTCTCATCATTTCCTCATATATCGCGCCCGCTTTTTTGGGGATTCCAAAATAGGCAAAATGTGCGCGGGACGCATAAATATTCGTCGTATTTTAATTTGGTGGCCCGGGGCGAGAGACGCGGATTTGCCGAAACGCCACGACGGAAATTTGGCCTTCTAACGCGCTATAGAAAATTTTTCAGTTGCAAGTCTGGTCGTCTGGATCAATGAATGTTACAAATTATGAGATTGTTGGAAGAAATTAACCTAAAAACGATAATTTATCGTAATTCCATTGTCCAGGATTTTCAGATTTTACTTTGACAAGATTTTTTATGTATTTTAGAAAGAGTTTTTTTGCATTTGACAAATTTCTAATTTTTATGCTATTCAAGTTACGCTTATCAGACAGAGTCTGGTCGTATTTAGACCATATTAATAAATGAATTTTACAAATGATGAGGTTTGGGAAGAAATTAACCTAAAAATAATAATTTATCGTAATTTTATTGACGGAAATTTTCATGAATTTAATTTTAGTGTGTTTTTGAAGGGGCATATGATAGAACCCAAAATTTTCATGAATTGATTTTGACAAGATTTACGCAAGCTTTACAACGATTCGAAGATCCAAACCATAAACCCCTTGACATCACCCCGGAAGCACCCGGCTAGCCGAACCCCCCACGCATAAAACGCAGCCTTGAAAAATTCTAATTTTTTGCAAGTTGCCCGATGGGGGCAATTAATTTAATTTTCCAGTCGACGCCCCTTTCCAAGGCTTTTCCCATCAAATTGTGACCAGCCAGCCGGCGGGCCGTGTTTCAT